TGCCCTGGGAGCTGCCGCCTGCCCTGGGAGCCCCCTGCCCTGGGAGCCGCCTGCCCTGGGAGCTGTGCAGCAGTGTGGTCAGCCGGCCTGGCTCCCTGCCCACCCCTGGGAGGGCACAGGCCCAGCCACGTCCACACCCCCACGTCCACACACACCCACATCCACATCCCCCACGTCCACACACACCATCTACATACACCCCCACGTCCACACATACCCACGTCCACACACACCTATGTTCACACACAACCATGTCCACACACACCCATGTCCACACACACACCATCCACACACCCACGTCCACATCCCCCCACATACACACACACACACCTACACCCCCCCACGTCCACACACACCATCCACTCACACCCCCATGTCCACTCACACATTCACACACATCCACGTCCACACACACCTATGTTCACACACACCCATGTCCACACACACCCATGTCCACACACACCCATGTCCACACACAGCCACGTCCACACCCCCACATCCACACATACGTCCACATCCCCCCACATACACACACACACACACCCCTACACCCCCCACATACACACACACCATCCACTCACACCCCCATATCCACTCACACATTCACACACACCCACATCCACACACACCTATGTTCACACACATCCATGTCCACACACACACCATCTACATACACCCTCATGTCCATACACACCCAGGTCCACACACACCCATGTTCACACACCCACATCCACACACACTCCCATGTTTACACACACCATCCACACACACATCTATACCCCCCATGTCCATTCATTGCCCCTTGTTCACACACACCCATGTCCACACACCCCTATGCCCACATACACACACCATCCACACACACTCCCATGTTCATGTACACACCATACACACACACCCACGTCTACACATACACACATGTCCTCACAAACACCACACACACCTATATTTACACACCCATGCCACTGACACACCAGAGTCCACACACACCAACATCCACACCCAGACACCATCTACACACCACATCCGCACACATATACCTACATCTACACACACCCACATCCACACACCCACACACACACACACCCATACTCACACCCACACTGACACACCAATATACATACTCACACACCCACATACACATCCACACATCCACACACACATCAACATCCACACACATACATCTACATCCACACACACTCATGTCCACACACACATACCATCCACATACACATACATCTACACTGACACACCAATATACATGCCCACACACCCACATCTACACCCCCCCTACATCCACACTCACACCAACATCCACACATATACCATCCACACATACCCCCATGTCATGTCCACACACACACACACCATCTACACACACTATCCACATACACCAACATTCACACTGACACACCAATATACATACCCACACACCCGCATCCTCACACACCAACATCCACACACACCCACACACCCACACCCACCCTCACCCATACACTTGCTCACGCTAACATCCATGTGCATGGTAGCACATCCACACAAGAACATCCATACTTGTGCTCACACTGACACACCCACACACCCACAGATGTGCTGGTGTAAATATTACACCTATGCTGTGCCAAACCTCCATGCAGACACACACCCATGCCTGTGTAAGCCTTCCGCCTGTCATCTGTGTGTGCAAGGACATTAACACACACTTGTATGCCAGGACCCTTACACACACTCTTGTGTGCACTCTCTCACACATAGACTCACCCACCCACACATTACAATTTACCCACACCACCCACACCCACTCTACACACACAGACAAGTACCCCAGTTGCCCATCTGAGTCGTGCTGACCTCTGTGGAGTGCAGAGGTCACACAGGGGGTCACCAGGAAGGCTACTCAGAGGACAATACAGGGCCACTGGAAGGTCAGCAAGTGGCCCTGGGTCAAGCTGGGACTTGAGCTACACTGGCCTGAGGCGTCTGCCTGGACTTTACCCCACCAGAGCCTCCAGGGTCCTCAGTGCCCCGCTGGCCTGGTCAGGTGCTCTGGGGAGCGGCCCGAGGACCAGCTCCACCTCCTCTGACGTGCTGGTTAATAAGAAGCCCACTGTGGGAGGGCACTGCTGGCGGCACTAGGCCCACACCTCTGAGTGCCTCTCCTCTCTGTCCCTCAAGAGCAGTGTCTGGACCAA